GTCAGCAGTCCTCAGTTAAAATAACCTACAAGATAAATCATGGTCAGCAGTCCTCAGTTAAAATAACCTACAGATAAATCATGGTCAGCAGTCCTCAGTTAAAATAACCTACAGATAAATCATGGTCAGCAGTCCTCAGTTAAAATATCCTAAAGATAAATCATGGTCAGCAGTCCTCAGTTAAAATATCCTAAAGATAAATCATGGTCACAGTCCTCAAGTTAAAATAACCTACAGATAAATCATGATCAGTAGTCCTCAATTAAAATATCCTACAGATAAATCATGGTCACAGTCCTCAGTTAAAATAACCTAAATATAAATCATGGTCACAGTCCTCAGTTAAAATAACCTAAATATAAATCATGGTCACAGTCCTCAATTAAAATAACCTACAGATAAATCATGGTCAGTAGTCCTCAATTAAAATATCCTAAAGATAAATCATGGTCACAGTCCTCAATTAAAATAACCTACAGATAAATCATGATCAGAAGTCCTCAACTAAAATAACCTACAGATAAATTATGGTCACAGTCCTCAATTAAAATAACCTACAGATAAATCATGGTCAGTAGTCCTCAATTTAAAATAACTTGTAGATAAGTCATGGTCTTCAGTCCTCAGTTAAAAATAACTTGTATGTAAATCATGGTATGTAGCCTGCAATATATTGTATTTTGTTTGAAATGAAATTAGGCAAAGTGTATAAGACTTATTTCAGGTTGAGTTTGAAGGGGCCAAGTACGAAGTTAAACAACTGCAGGATGAAGTAAAAACAGTACATTCACAAGTTGAAGAACTGATGCTATTAAAACAAATAGCAGAAAAGCAACTTGAAGAAGCAATAGAGGCATTACAATCGGAGAGAGAGCAGAAATACGCCTTAAAGAAAGAGTTAAATAATCGAGTGAACTCGGAGTCCATTTTCAACTTGAATAATTTAACTCTATACAACTTCAAATATGAAAGTAAGTGACCGCTTTAATTCATCGTGTTTTTCTGGTTTTATATTTGTAATGTGAACACGAAAACGACAAGCCAGTATAAAAGAAATACTTTATATTAAGGTTTTCAGGTTGTGGAAAACAGTATATGTGTATATTATCACCTCTTATAAGAAAGAAATAGATTATATGACATCAAATGCAAGTGAGCCAAATATCTTTCTTTAGCCAGTCCTGTAAAAAAGTCTTGAAAAATAATCATTGTGTTTTATTATAACCTACACATGTTAAATAACATATGCATAAAAACTGTTAATTAACCTAAAAGTTTGGAGATAGCTTGAATGGGTGATAAAGGAAACTTTATTATAAATATACAATGTTTTTACATCGCCCGGCATGGCCAGGTGGGTAAGACGCTCGACTCGCAATCTGCGGGTCGCGGGTTCGCGCCCCCATCCCACCAAACATGCCCGCCCTTTTAGCCGTGGGGGGCGTTATAATGTGA